AAGAGACTGGAAGATTCACCTCTGGAAAAACTAAATGACCCCAGAGAAAAACTTTCACTTCTTTCCATCAATATAAAGGCTATCTCACTTTCTGACCACCCAACAGTGAAGATCACCAGGAACAAAGCACATCAAAAACAGAATTTTCAATTGTCTTTTCCTAACTCATTCTAAAATGATTATATTACCATGGATCACCAGGCATTTCAAGACAGCCTACAACACAAAAGACAAGGGACTAAAAAAAAACCAAAAACACACAGGAAAAGAAAATCTGAAAGAAACAGTAAGGGGGTGGGGGAACAAGAAGAAAACTTGGAGAAAAAATAAAACATCTGTAATACTTTCAAAAAGATAAAACTATCTTTGAATATTTAACAATGACAGAATCTACACAAAAGGTAGACAACACAGGCATGTTATTAGAAATGTTTTTAATGTGATTACTAAAATAATGCAGTTGGAAGATAACTTCTCAAAATGGAACAGAAAGTCAAAATGATGGGGAACTTGACAAAAAGATAAGAAAATCTAGGAGATTCAATATCCAAATACTAGAATATCCTAAAACAGTTAACAGAAAATGTGGAGAGAAGGAAATAGATGAAGAAATGACACAAGAGTCCAGAAATAAAGGATAAAGTGCTTATGAGATTAACCTTCTTAAGCAAATATGTAGATACTAATTTTTCAACATGCCACATCCCTGCCCAGTGGCATCCTTCTGCCTAGCAATCTCATTCTAGCTCTCAATAACTAGTTTCACTTTATGTAATCAATCTGATCTCTTATTCTCTAAAACGTAAACTCTTTCCACAAACTTTCTATCTCCTTTCTATTCTCAGGGAAGGTCACTTCAATACTCAGCACACTGAAAAATGGAGACAATAGTCCCCACACAAAAAAGCAAAAGCAATTATGGTATAAAATAATTAGTTAAACCTGAGACAAGGCTCAAGTTCTACTTCCTCTGTATCACTTTTTTTTTCCTTTTTCTCTCTATGAACGCTTAGCTTGACCAGCAGTGTCACACAATGGTTAGGACCATGGACTTTGCTATTAGACAAGCCTGAATTCAAGTCCAGGCAATACCATCTACTTAACCTCTCTAAATGTCAGTGTACTCATCTATGAAATGAATATATAATAACAGTATTTTATCTCACAGTGTTACCGTGAGGATTAAATTAAATATGAATGTAAAATAATCCCTAATTTCTTTCACATGTCTCATCTGAGAAAACTGCAAATGTAGGTATTAAATTCCATGACCCTTTTCTACCAATCAATTGTATAACATCTAAATATAATTCAGAAAGCAATATGATCTGCTCTGAACCAAACTGTGCCCCCCACCAAGTTCATATGTTGAAGCCCTAACCCCACTGTGATGGTAGTTGGAGACAGGACATTTGAGAGATAATTAGGTTTAAATGAGGTCATGAGCATGGGGCCTGATGATAGGATTATTGCCATGTGAGTGCCACCTGTAAGCGAGGAAAAGAACTCACCGGAACTCAACCATGCTGGCTGATCTCAGATTTCCAGCCTCCAGAACTGTGAGAAATTAAATTTCTGTCGTTTAAGCCACCCACAGTACGGTATTTTGTTACCGTAGCTCTAGATGATTAATACATGATCCTTCAAAAAGGTTAAAAGTCTGGTATCAAAAAACCTTTATCCTAGTCCATTTTGTTACTGATTTGGCAAGGAAAAGTTAAAGTACATAAACATCCTAAACACTTAAAAGAAGACAATTTTAATTGCCATTGCTAGTCATATGGATATTAATAGGAATGATTTTTTTAAAAAGAAGAAAATGGAAATCAGAAGAAAAGAAAGGCATTCTTCAATTTGCCCCCAACCCACCTTTCAAGTTCACTTTCCCCGACCTCTCACTTTTCCTGACGTGGGGTCTTTCACTGACCTCCTCACCTTATTACTTTACTTTTTAAATATTTTGTTTAGTAAACTCACTTAAAAACATGGAAAGGAGACATTTACGTGACCATATAAGCAATGGGCTATCTTCTTCCAAAGTGTTCAATTGAAAAGACCAGGTATTTTGCAAAGAAAATAAAGCTATTATTTCAATGGTAGGTAATATTCTTTTTTGAGAATGTTTACCAGATAATTTGTAAGAGAAACATCCACAAGTGAGTTATAAAGGTCAATCCCTTGTGGGATGAAATAAGTTTTGAAGTTCAATTTAAGACAAGATTTTTAATTACCAAGGTAGACTACCTAGGGACAATTTCAGATTGAAAGGCCAAAAACCTTAAGTTAGTTGATTTTTAATAGACAATTTAACCCCAGCCCCCCCAAAGAAAATCTGATAAATCATTTCCCATAAGTGAAAAACTAATTATATCACCATATTGACATTATAATAGCATCTAAATGTTTCTTCAAAATTTGAAACAACACTATGAGTGATACTTTGGGCCTAAATTTCCAGTAAATTTATCCTCACTGAAATCTTTAGAGAATAATAATGAAGAAAGATTACACAACAGTTGATTGATATTTTTTGAATGTTTATTGTTATAGATTTTTTTTAAGTAAAATGATAAAAGATGCTTTAAAAAATTTTTTTTTATTATTTCATTTCATCCAGGTCAAATGAATTTATGAAAATAAGCATAGTATAGTACATAGCATAGTGTTGAAAGCACCTTAGTCCATTTGGGCTGCTATAACAAAATATCAGGGACTGAGTGGCTTACAAACAACAGAAATTGATTTCTCACAGTTCTGGAAGCTGGAAGTTCAAGATCAGCTGCCAGCATGGTCTGGTGTGGGCTCTTCTCCAGGTTGCAGAGTTCCTGTTGTATCTTCATGTGGTGAAAGGGGCTCAGGATCTCTCTGGAGTTCCTTTTTTAAGGCCACTAATCCTATTTGAAGGGCTATACGCTCATGATTTATGCACCTCTCAAAGCCCTATGTACTAGTACCATCACATCAGGAATTAGTAACTCAACATATGATTTGGGGCGAGGACACAAACATTCAGACCATAGGAGAAAATATAAAAGTTTTAGAGTTGGATGGGAGAAGCAAATGCCTATAATTATTAACTGTATATGTTAATAAGCATTCATTCCTAGTAATCATTTTTTCCCAATGTATAAAAACAACACATGAAAATTAACTCATTCACTGTATATAACAAAACAGAAAGAGACTCATGGATATAGAGAACAAACTAGTGGTTACCAGTAGGGAGAGGATAGGAGGGAGGGGGGAACATAGAAGTATGGAATTAAGAGATACAAAATACTACTTATAAAATAGATAAGCAACAAGGATATATTGCATAGCACAAGGAAATATAGCCATTGTTTTGTAATAAACTTAAATGGAATATAATCTATAAAAATACTGAATCACTATGTTGTATACCTGAAACTAATATAATATTGTAAATCAACTATACTTCAATTTTAAAAACTGTAAAAAATTAATTAATTCACCTGCCATTTAATGCAAAGAGTAGGTAATTGAAGCCCATAACATTTTCTAATTTAATAAGACAAAAAAATTTCTGCAGCACTTTAAAAAACTGGAAATTTCAATTCTTAAACACAAAATATAACAAATGTCCAAAAGACCTAAAGCAACAATGAAATCAGTACTATAATAGTAGACTTGCTTCACAGTTTCCTAAAATCAGGACTTACAGACCATAGAAAAATCAAGCTCTATGGTTTATTCCTTCAAAGATTGGGCCTAAAAATGGCTTTAACATTCAATAAACATTTTTTGAGTGCCTACTCTGTGCCAGGCACTCTTCTAAGAATTGAAAACATACAGTATTAGCAAACAGAACAGCAAAGGCCCCTGCTCTCGTGAAGCTTATACTGACTTGGAAAAGGGATTATATATATATTATATATATTCAATTTAAATCCCTCTTATTGTATACTGTAGCTACTTTTTCTCCTTTTTAGGAGAACCTTGGCTGCTATCCCATATAAAAATGTCTCTTTATTCCAGACAATATGTTCTTCTGGTAACTATATTATGTGTGGCAATATTTCAGTATTTTCAGGTACACTTATAATTTCATTATTTGTAAAAAACTGCAAAACAAACATACAACACATTTTTTATTTTAAATATACTTTAAGTAGCTCTGGTTAATACTGTTAAATAACAAATGCCAATAAAAATATAATTCAGTTATAGACTCTATCATGAAAAATGCTATGAATGCTATCACACGTCCAAGGAAGG